CATAGACTGTACGGAGCGTCACACTGACACTGGTATCAGCTAATTAGTGTAAAAAATAAGTCCACTAGAGCTCAGAGTTCTTGGATGGTCTGTAGTACAACTAGTACGTACCCATGATACAGTGTGGATTGGTCTGTTCAGCCTGTGTGTGATAAATTATGTGACTGTCTGAAGATATCAAACCAAAACATAGAGAGGCAAATTACAAACCTAAGTGGGTCCAGATTTGCCCATTTTTGTGGGTTCTGTGCAACGCTCAGGCCCTGCTTTACTGTGTATGTATGGATTTAGAAACCTTGCAGCCAGGACATGTTGATTAGAAAAGTTTGAGTGTGTGTTTCTATATATATCTAGCTTCAATTGCGTACTGACACTAAAATATATTATACAAATGTGGTATCACATGGGGCTAATTTGCATAAATGTACAGTAGATTATGAGGGGGAAGGTTCCTGTCTCACCTTAGAAGTCTGGTCTGTGTGTCGGCATTAGATCTTTGTTCTAGGAGCGTGTGTGGAGTCTGAAGCTGTGAAACCTGCAGCTCTGTTTCTGTTTTCATTGAAAGCTTGAAAAACAGCCGTGTGTGTGCTCAGTGAGTGACTCTCTTTCTTCTTCTCTTTCTGTGAAAGCTGCCAGGAAATCTGTCAGGTATTAGTCCCTGTTACTTGTTGTCATGGTGACATCATCCTCATGTTCACGCCCATGTTTCCTGTGCCCACCCTCCAACCTCCCCCCAACCCCAACCTCCCTACACCTGCCCTGCTCACCCTCTGTGTGTGTGTGTGTCTGCTGCTGTTACCCTGAGTGCTGTAGCACAATCCCTGGTTTCGGTGTATGTCTCTATGTGAGACCTCGAGGCCTCTGCAGTTGTGGCCACACCACTTTCAGATCCAGGTCTCTGTCTCTGGATTTTGGATCAACCTTTCTGCTAATGTTACAGGAGGAAGCCCAGATATTAAAGTCTTTAATGAAGCCTCCATAAAACATCCATCGCCGCTGCTGCTGATTCCTGCCTTCAGACTGTTTCATG